TACTCTGCTGAATTGGTATGTCATACAGAATGGGCATGCAATCCTTTTATCTGATGGACGGTTGCTAATTATTGCACTGGCCCATGTATTTTGGTTTTACTAATTTTTACAAACCCACATATACTTACTGCTGCATTTCATCCAGGAACCTAAACTTGCCCTCTTCTGTCAAATGTGTTCAGACCTCAGAAAAGGTGCATTTTGTCCACTTTGTTTGCCTTAGCTGAGTTTAAGTTGTATAACCAGCACTGACTTTCTGGATAGCCATTGGTCTGGCTGACCTTGGCAGCACGACAGCTGCTGTATTTTCACATGGATGAACTGTTCTTGAACAACTTCTCCAATGTATCGGGAACAAACAAGCTTTTCTTCAGCATCAGGAATGCAGCAGGTCTTCTTTCCAACTATTTTTTTTTCTCCTTCCACAGACATATTTATTGTGGCAATGGCGAGAAAATCCTACTGCTAAACCTTCATGTTTGAGTTCATTTACATTTCCTTCAGGGGAGTGACAGAGAAGCCAATCTAGATCATGTCAGAGCTTGCTTTCTTTAATTTAACTCTTAGTTTATTTTTAATAAACATGGATATTAATTGGTAGTGGCAAGAAAACTAGGAGGACAAAATCCTTCTACATGTTTCTTGCTTGTATTTCCATTTCTGCTGTATTTATATAATTTAAATCATTCACGTAGTCAGCAGTGACAAAGAGCAGGATGCTGCTGGGGAGGGTATTGCACAAACCCAAAGGGTTTGCAGTCTGGTGGACAAGATGGCCTGTGATGAACGGCAGGGAGTCTTTTATACAAATGGAGTGACCTCCAGCTGGTAGTGAGCTTGCTAGATCCCTCAGCTGGATGAGGGGAATAGAAGGATGGAGGGAGCAGAAGCAAGCCAGTGTCAGGAGGCTGGAGTAACAGTATGGGAAGGCAGCAGGGAGTAGAGTGTAATGGTGAGAGCACAGTCCTGCTGACACCAAGATAGTTTTGAGAAGGCAGCAGTTTTGTTAGAAAAAAATATCTTCAACTCCAAAAAGGATTTTTCTATCAAGTTGTTAGAAAAGGGAGAACACTCCCAAAAGAGCCAATAACGCATTTGTTAGAGCTAATGCCTGGCAGAAAGAAGTTCAAGTTAATTTTGGGTCGGATTCACACTGCAGGTTTATATTTAACTGAAGGTTTTATTTCTTCATTGGTCCTTGTAGTTACTTAGAGATTTGTAGTAGTACAGTGCCATGGCATGGATTAACTGTTCAGCAACTTTGCTCTTTGACTAGTTTTTGCGGCCTGCACTGAGCTGCACCTTATGACACCTAAATGTAATCTCAAAGGAACTGGTTTTCTCCAAAACTGCACTCCCATACCCTCCAACCATATGTCTGTGGGATAAGGAATGAAGCACAGCCATTGGTTTAATAGCACTGTAAGTCAGTACATTCAAGTGCTTTGTGAAAGTTAGCATGTTTCTGGACCTGAGCTGGCTCACATGGAGCTGGCTTGGGATGCTCTTCACGCCAGGGTTGTTAGTAGTCAGGAAGGGAGTCAGAAAACATATTTTGTTTGATTCATGCAAAAAAAACCCCAACAACTTTCAATGGTAGCACATATAATTGATGACTGAGCCTTGTGTGGCAAAAGAGCCTGGTGTTCAGCAATCCCATAAGTTTGGAAAGAGAGCTAAAGTTGAAGATTTTATTGACACTCCTGTGTTTTGCAGACTTTTTTCATCTTGGGAATGAATTTCAGACCTCAGTGGTTAGTATTAATGCTATATATCCTCTGTGGTTAGTATTAATGCTATACAGCCCTGCCAAATGTGGAGAAAGTTAGAACTGAAAAAAAAAAATAACCCACTGTGAAGAAGTTAGATGCAAACAAATGGGGATGGAAGTTTATGCTTACAAAGAGCTCAGCTCTTCTGGCACTTCTCCTGGACCAGTCCTGTCAATCTAAATCTGAAATATTTGCAGAGTGAAGTGTTGGTAATGAGCAAGGCTGGCAGGACTGGACTCGAGGTGAAGAAGGCACCTGAACAAGCATTTTAAAGCAGGAACCAAGAGACTGGGCTGAACCCCATGAATCAAACTGCTCCACTCTACCCTTGTCTTAATCTATTCACATCCACCGTCCTGCCAGAGCAGAGGAGCCCATCAGCCGACGTGTGCTGTGCCAGCTCGGGAGCTCTTGGCTCTTGCCTAGATGAGCAGGGGGTGCTTTTGTGTAGCTGAGAGGGGACCCTAGCTCTGGTGTGTTCCAAAACAAAGTGTAGCCTATAGCTTGTTTTGTCTTTCAGTAGCATAAAAATATGGCACTTGGCAGAACGTGTTCTATAAACTGGTGACTTTTTACTCAAAATGCAGTGAGTGAACTTCGCTGTGTAAGCCCGGGGTCTTAAAAGTTCCTCTGAAAATAGTGTTGTTTTTTTAAGTTAATTTTTTTTTTCTGGAGTTGATTTAATTCAAAGGCACTTTTGTTTGCTTGCCTGCTTGCTTGCCTGGCATTTTTTGGTAAGTTTAAATAGATGAGTTTCATTTCTTCTGCAGTTTATTTTGGTGAAACTTCTGTTGAATTTGGGGGAGATATCACAGGGCAAATGGACTTAATCTTTGAAATTTTGGGTTACAGTTTGCAGACCCCAAGAGCCAACTCTTGTATTTCATATGGATTTTCCAAGCTTTGAGCAAACATGAGCTCAGACTTTAAGAGGGAAGGGAAGGCCCAGTGTTACTGCAGAGAGCTTCACAAAGAGCTTTCTATCTCTTTTAAGGCCCTTGAGTCAGTCAAGCCCCCATTGCCCCATGTTCATGTATACTGTGCAAAGACAGACTGGGAAAGCACTTCCCACATTTGTGTGGCTGACAATTCCTTTCAGTGCAGATATTTTTAACTATCCTGTGTCCCAGCTTCACTTGGGACCAAGGTGTTGCTCCAGGGCTGTGGCAGACCAGGCAGGCAGCTGCTGGACTTGGCACTTGGCTAAGCTGCCAAAAATCCCCTGGCAAACTTTGGTTAGCACCAGCTTCTCCCCAAAGAGTGAGTGGCTCCGAGAGGTTTTGCCACATAAGGGCCTGTTTGAGGCTGAAGGCACCAGCTGACAGGGATGTCTTTGCCTCCCAACAGATGGCCAGGCTTTTTATTTCAGCAAGCAATCTCGTGCAGAGAGGTGGTCTCCAGATCCTGCCAGCATTTTGCATGACAGGGCCAGCTTAGGGCAAGAGGGATCTGATGTCCGTGCCCTTCATAGCTCATGAGCTAAATGACGAGCTGTTGACAGGAAAGCCATCATCTGAAGTGTAAGATCCTGAACTCTCCCTGCTTTTCATTTTTCTTTGGCAGAATTAATGCCCTATTTGCTTGTCTCTCAAAATCCATTCTGGCATGAGTACAAACCCTCGCCTGGTGGCAAGCAGTTGTCTAGATTCGAGTTGCCAAGATTTGTGCTGACAGCTCCTTCTACACAATCTGAGTCAGGCTGTCACAGCTGGCCATTAGAGGCTTAAAAAGACACACACATGTACAACCAACTTTCTGGTTTTGAATATCAGAACCTGCTTGATGAGAAAATACACTGCTCTTTATTTTACTGTAAACAAACACAGTGTATCCAAACCCCTGTTCAAGTGTGGTGGTGTTTGTTATATGTTGATTGTTTCCTCTTAATTAGGGGCATGGGTCTAGAAGGGACCTTGTGGGTTAGGAGATCCGGTCCTTGATAATTCCAGGAGTCACATTTTGTAATCCTCCTTATTACCTTACTTTTCCTGATTGAAAACAGTCCCTTGTAGTTTCAATTTGTCCCTTGACACAGAGGAAGAAGCACCCAAACTTGCATGGCAGAGGGGCAGCATCACAACTAGAGTAGGGCAGAAATGCTGCTCATCAAAAAGAGATTTTCTGAAGCTGTTTACCCTGCAGTTTCATCTGTCTTGATGGCAGCATGTGCAAGTTCTGCTGACCTTGCATTCAGTTTGGGTGCTAAAAAATGAATGCTTGCAAAAGTTAACTTTCTGATTTAAAGTAAAGATTAACTTCTGCTTAGCCAACTGATGGTTACTGCAAGTGTAATGCTGCTCTGCCTGGTTGTGCTAGGTTTTAAACTTGCTGTAGGATTATGTTTTGCACAGCTGAGCTTTAGTAGACCTTAGTCTGTAGTTTATCTGGAACAAAAGGTTGATAAACTCTGGCTCTCAGGGAGGAAGCCTGGAATCTGAGACCCACTATTATTCATTGACTTGTCTTTATGCGTTTACAGTCCACTGATGCATAACACTGAAGGAAATATTTTCAGTGAAATGTTTGCTTTTTTCTTTGACTTTATAAAATGCAATGTCTTTTCTTAGAGATATATGTCAGGGTCATATAGTTACTTCACTGAACTGTGTATGGTCAGGAAATAGACTGCATTGAAAATATTTAATTTTTCCATGAAGTCAGTCTTTTAACCAAGACTTTCCCCCTTCTCCTCTCAGGGTTTTGGTCTCCCCCACTAACCACTATTTGAGCATTAATTTTATGGACAAACTGGGTTTAACTGTGGAAGGGTGATTCCAACTGTATGGAACATTTTCAGTATTTTTGTATTAAATCAAAATTTGCACATGATGGTGAACTTCTAAAACCAAACCCCATTAAGGGAATTTTCTTGGCTGGTATTTTTCTTTCCTATTTTTGATGTGCTGAAATATATGTCTCTTCCTTACTGCTGTGGATCACACAGCAAGGCTGGCCATTTAGTATGATAGACAGACTCTGCAAACTTTAATACCTCTGAAACAAGAGATCTATTAATATATTGCTTCAATGTTTAAGATGTGCTTACTTATTTTTCTGGATTGGGGCCCTTACAAGCTCTGCTCCCTCTTTGAATGATCAGTGAGATACTTTGTCTGAGTTGTGAATACTAATGTAAATAAGGCTTTGTTGAACCAAATGTGCAGATGTTACATTGTGCTCGTATGTACTGTTTATAAGCCATTAATGTCCATTTCTCTTTCTCCACAGGTTCTTCTTGAAATTTTTCCTCAAATGTAACCAAAATTGCCTAAAAAATGCAGGAAACCCTCGAGACATGCGTCGATTCCAGGTCAGTCGGACATGCTTCCTCCTTTAAAAATCAGCAGCTGTTAGGGACAGAAGTACTTTGACCCAAACTAATCTAGTAATTCACTGCAAGATGCTAGAAATGTAAGGTCACAGAATATTGTTTGAGGTCTTCTTGTCATAGCAGAATTGGCAGGAAGTAGTTGGGTTTTCTTGCTCTGGACAAGAGAATGCTTGAAGATAATGTCATCTCCACAGGAAGTGAAAGCATGAAAAGGAAAAATTAAAATGACCTCTGTGTTGCTTTAGCTTATGGGGCTCTGAGATACTCCCTTTTGCCTGGGGAACTATTTGCTTCACTATTTGCCTTCATGTAAACACTGAGTATCAGGTTTATTGGAAGGGGCAGAGGAGAGTTTAAGAGCAATGAATAAAATCAAGCTCATGACTTCACTTGAGCAGTTATTCTTCAGCAGTGTTAAAAATCATAAGTGTGCATCGATGGGGTGAAAGTTCACCCCTGTAGTCAAAACTTGGAAAAAACTGCCTTTGGGTGTATCTCTCTTGGGATGTTGTGGGCTGGTATTTCCCCACTGCTGCAGCACGTGTCTGCAAGGCTTGGGAACTGTAATATTATCGCATCTTCAGATGGCCAAGGACAACTTTTTGTGCTACACTCTGTCCATGGTTCTTTTTGGAATCAAGTAAAACACTGTTGCTTGGGAAGATGGTCTGTACTTGCCTTCCCCACTGTGTCAGCAGTGGTGTAGTGGCAATGCTGGGAAATAATTGCTCCAACCCTTTTATTGAAGACATGGTCCTTTGAATGTGCCAATAATGCTTTACCTGAGTATGTGCTTAAAAGAAAAATAGGGTAGAGCCAAAGGACCTTCTCTTTTAATGGGAGGACTGTATACTGCCAAGGGAGAAAACATTATAGATACCTGCTAGGTATTTGCCTCAGAGCTCTAAGGAAGAAATGGATTTATCCCATGGACTACATGGATCTCTGGAGGAAGGCAACTACTTTTTTGTGCAGTAGCTCAGAAACTTGTTTGCTTCTTTCCCAGCATTTTTTTTTGCAGTTAAATAAAAGTGCTAAATGCTATGTAAATGACAAGATTGTTTGTATGTAGAACATGTAACTTCTGTTGAGCTGCTTAATTGCAACAACGCTGGAAGGCAGAAAGGTGTTGTATGCCCCTCTGAGCATAGAAGTGCAGAAGTGAGGATATGTGGCCACAGGGATTAAACTAATCAGTGTAAGAGGTAACATTAGCATGGCAGAACCCTTGGCTTCTCACTCCACACTCCTCTCTCCATCACGTTTCCCCTGTAATATAGGAGGGTGTCATCACTGAAGGATAAGGTGGGAAAAGGACTCTCACCAGCACAGGGATTTAGGCCAAGCAGCCACCCCTTGGGCCTGTCAGAGCTTGCTTCACAACATGTACACTCTGCTGAGTTTGTGCTTGTCCAGGCTCGAGGCTGATTTTCATATGGTAATGCCTTTGCATGTTCTCTCAGAACTGCAATCAGGAGCCTGTGTCGGTGAGTAGGTAGGACATAGGAAAGGTTGTTGATCTCTTGACTTGTAAAGACATTCTATCATACAAACCCAGCTTCACAGCAGTTGAGCTTTCTGTGTGTAAACAGAGACTGCTTAATTACACAGGTCATGTCAATTAGTGTGACCTTAGCATTTTCAAGAAATTAATCACTTTCAGCCCAGCAAACCACTCATACTGTGTTGAAGCTTGCAGCGTTCTGCTAAGTGCCCAGGCGTATTGTTTTACAATAGCTGCTTCTGTTTGTTTTCTTTTTTCTTTTTCTTTTTTAAATTTTTTTTTTTAACTTGTTGCTCTTCTAACAATAGACTTCCTAAACTAAAATATCCAGGCTCCGTACAGTCCAGGTGTCATTTATGGTGAAAAGGAGCAAGCATACATATAGTATCTCAATGATACGCTGCACCTAGATGTTTGAGACAACGTTACATAGGAACCAGCTGGGCCCCTGTGAAGCCAGTGGAAAGTTTGCTATCATCTGCCTTTGAAATATTGCCAGTGACTTACAGGGTCTCTAATAGCTATGTCAAAGTTCAGGTTAAAAATGATGAGGGTAAAGTGTTTCGAGACCTTTAAAATAGTAGCATACTCTTTTTGCACACACACACACAGAGGAGACTTCCCTTCCTCTAATTCATTCTGCTATCTGTGGTGAACTGTTAAGCTGCCCAGAGATTTGTCTGTCTTTTGGCCATGGTCTCATGCATCAGTCCTCAAAAATTGCTAGGAGTTACTAGAACACAGCTTATAGTTTTGGTGAGAGAAGCAGTGAAGGGCCGGGAAGACAAGCCTCTCACTAAGGACTAGCCCTGCAGAAAATTTATTTTTTTAGTAGGTTTTGGTGTTTGTTGGGTTTTTTGTTTGTTTGTTTTTGTTTTATTGTTGGTTGGTTGGTTTTGTTTGTTGTTTTTTTTTTCCTGCAGCAGGAAACTGTCTGATTATCATATGGTACAAGAGAGGTTAAAAAAGTGCAGAAAAGAGCCAAAGTATGTACTGATTTAGGTGACCTGCGTGTGAAACGTCATTCAGACTCACATATAAAAATGAATTGGGAAATTTTATCCTGAACTTTGCATACAAATGTAGTGGTGTGATAAGCCTACCATAGAAGCAGTTGTGGGCCTGGAAGGAAATATGTTTCTCTGTATGTCTAAGATGTGCAGGTATGTGACAACTGGAGCAGTGCCAAGTGCCAGCAAAAGTGCATGCTGGTGCAGTGCTGGCACTGGCTGTGTTGTGTCTCTGTTAGCAGGAGGAGAAAGTCAGAGAGAAGTCAAATGCTATGCAAGGACTCTAGACATTTGAATTGAGTGTTCAACTGTGCTACAGAGTTGCTGCTTGTCCTTGAGACAATAATTTCATCTGTGTGTTTCATCAGCCCAATCACACAAAACATTTGATGATATCACATTTTGTCCCCTTTGTCCAGACTTGCCTATTTATTCCAGAAACCTGTGGAGCAGATGCTCAGTTTGATTTTGCATTCTTCATCACAATAAGCCATCAGTCTTGGTAGGACAAATTGTAGTGCCCCAATTAGTGGTAATAATAGCAAAACTAAGTAGACGATATCATGGGTGAACTCTGCCAGTATTTTATTTTTCAGCACTAAAAACTCATTCCTACAACCTAAACAGTTTTGTATGTTATTGAAACCCAGGTGCCCTAGTTATCTTGTTGTTCTTGTTTTAGCACAATTGCTTGTGCAAACTGATACATGTCAAGTTTTAATTTAGAGGAAACTTTTCAGACTGAGTCACTGCATAAAAAACACTGGTTTATTATTAAAACCTTGAAAGTCACTTACAAATCTCCATGCTGTTTGATTCTGTTACCACAACCTCTTCCTCAGTCTAGGCTGCTAGTTTGCTTCCATGGGACTCTGCCACTCATGTTTGAATTGAAACCACTTGTGTCTTATTGCAAATTTGCATAAGAGACAGAGATGATGCTTCATGAATCCCAGATAATGGAATTTGGACATGAAAGGCTCCATCCCCAGAGAAGGGAAAGGAAAAAAAAAAAAAAAAAAAAAAAAAAAAAAAAAAAAAAAAGGCAGGAAAATAGCAGTGAGAGTTGTGGTCCAATTCAACAAGGTAATTAGGTGGCCTGGCCTGGCCTTGAGCACGTGAGCAAAATTACTGAATTTTATTGTACTTATGTGCTTTTAGATAGGCACATTTTTAAGTGTCTTGTTAAATTGAGAGTGGTTTTTAGTTACTAGAATAAAGAAGTCAGCACATGGTAGGAAGACGTCAGCAAGTGGTGATGCAAGTAAAGACGTTGCTCAAACCGCTTCTGCAAAGCTTTTGGAAGAGCAGCAAGCACTGGAGTTACAGATTTAACACTAATGACACGTTTCAAACCTGGAAATCACCTTAATCAGATTTTTTCTGCCTTTGCACTAGATACTGGGGACATCACAAAAATATCATATCCCTCACCATACATCAGAGAAAATTGAAAGCACAAGGAACGTGTTATGTCTTAATCAGTTAGCAAAGCTTAATGGACTGTGGTTAAAAATGAGGAGTCATGCAGTGCTTAATTTTGATATATTAGGTGAGGTACTATAACAAATAAACAGGCCGAGTGCTAAACGTGAATAAATAGCTTGATCTCCAGGCTCCTGGTGTCTGAATAGATATTTTTTTTTAACTAAGCTCCAAAGTATTCACAAACTGAACTATTTAATGGCAGGCAGAATAATTCACAGAGCTGTGATATGTTAGTGCAGTTGATAGTGTCAACTTCATTGAAGAAAGTTGTAAACCCATGTGTTTCTTTCATACCTCTGTCTGCCCTGGTGTTGATACAGGATTTAAATTCAAAATCTGTAAAGGACTAAAGTTAAAGCTCAAAATCATTTTCCATGTTTGCCTGTCCCAAATTAAAACTGTGTTTTGTTGACAAAATTTGGAAAGGTTTGCGATTTGGCAGGCCTGGTTGTCCCTGTGCTTACATTAATGTGTCAGCACCTCATTAATCATTTATTAAACTGCAGTGTGCCTTTCCCTCTTGCTATGGTCTGTGTTTTAGGATGCCTCAGTGCCCATTCCACATATACTTTGGCTCTCCCCTCCCCCTAATTTTATGATTTCTCCACAAATTAGTTTTAGCATGTGCTTTAACTTGAACATATCCCAGTCATTTCAAAATCAAAATGAGTGTAGTATTTTTTTAGATTAAAAAATGTGAGTAAAACTTGTAAGTATGTAAGTGCTCCATAGCAATCCAAGTATGTAACTGTAGCATACAATATTCAAAGTGTATTTTCTACTCTGTTAATAATTAGAGGTCTTAATATTTTGTTAGTGCAGTATATATTCAGTATTCCTATATTAATGAGATTTTGCATTTAAAGAATTGAGCAATAAGCATATGCTGTTTCTTACAGGTGCACTTTGAATAATATTTTTTTTTCAGACAAATGCATAAGAGTAACCACTTTTCTGTTGTTGTTTTGTTTTTTACATTTCCTGAGACTGGAAACAGTTTCTCTTGAGGATTCCATTTATAGTTTCTTCTGGTAACTACACTGAAGAACCACACCAATGTGGTCTCTTTGTAGTAAATCAGACCCTCTGTTCAGGAGGTAGGAAGACACTGTTAAGTACTTCAAAATATGTTGCATCAACAGTTTCAGAAACCTGGGGGGAGAAAAATTAGATGTAGATTTACTCACATAAAACTGACCTCACTAAGATAGTTTCCTCAAGTTCTTCCCTAGAAGAGTGCATGACAGCTACTTATATATATGATTGTCATGGATTGGAGACCTACCTATTATTACTCTTGGCCTGTTGATTTTCTGGATTTCTATTTCTAGAAGCATTCAAAAAGTTTGGTTTCAACACAGGACTGACTGATCAGCTTCAATGGGAAATCTGTGTGTACCCATATGGTTTTAGGATTGGGGAAAGTATTTCTTGAAGCCATTGTTATTAATTGCAATAGTGTTAATTTTCATATGCGTCTAAGCAAACCCATAGAAGAAGATAAGGAGATGGCATAAATCATGGAGCTGGGACAGGCAATGCCAGCTAAGGATTTAACTCAAAATCCTGGTTGCAAAGAATTTACAATGGTTGCAAGTGCACAAATAAGATTTCAAACCCTGAGCTACTTCCTATAAGATCATATTTTATTGAAAATATTATAAACTTTATTCTATCCCTTAGGAATGCAATGGATAAATTACTTTTGAAATCCCTTTTGGAATTTTATATATAGGGCTTGGGGTTTTTTTTTCCCCCTTAGTTTGATTTCAGAAAAACTTACCTGCAGTGTTTGGTGCATTCTTTTTCCTAAATTTCCATCTGTAAGAGCTCTTGAATCACTTATTCAGTATTTCAATATCTTTCACTTAAAACTCACACAAAAATCTATTGTCTGGAATGCCACTCTGAAGGATGGTTTTAGGATCCTTTAGATGTAAACTATTATCTTTTGTATTCCTCTTTTTAAAGACAAAGACTTTGGGATTAGCTATGGGCAGTTTAGTTTAGATTTTTGAGCATTTTAGTCAATGACCAGAAATAGGTGGGAAAATTTTAACTTTTTTTTTTTTTTTTTTTTTTAAGATCCAGTACAAGTGGTGAAATTGAATTGTTGTAAGTGTCACAGTTTGACTTAGGTCCGACAACAATGCTCTCGATCCCCCCTCCCCCCAACCCAGGTAGGGAAGGAGAGAGAGAAAAAGAGAGAGACTTGGCTGGATTGAAAACTAAACTACACAGCTTTAATTAAAACACTAATGAATGATACAAGAAAATATATATACAATTATATACAGATATATTCAGGTGTAGGCACAAGCCTCTCACCTACCCCCACCCCAGCAACTCCCACAGCACTTCCCTGATCTGGGAAGAGTCCCGAGGAATCCCGGAGCTGCTGCTGGAGAAAGCAGAGAGTTATGGGGGTCAGGAGATCTCGAGCCTAAGGGGCGACGGTGATGGATGAACAGAGTCCTCCCCGGACGCCGGCCATGCACGGAAGAGAAAGGGAGAAGAAGAAGGAAGGAAGTTGTCTTCTGTGATCTCTGACCTTCCTTTGAGCTTACGTAGATATATGGAATGGAATATCTTTGGCCAATTTTGCTGTCCATCTAATTCAGCCTCCTACGAGGGGGGTCACAGATCTCCCCATAGTGTCTGAGCCGGCAGAGTGCAGGTGCAGCCTTGAAGCCTCAGTAGTTAGAAAAACATTCCACTGTCTTATCAGCCTAGCAGAACACACTGTTGCTAGTTACAAGAAAGCTTACTGAAGGAAAAAAAAATCAGTAAAAAGAAAAATTGGCTTCATCCTGGCTTAAACCAGGACAGTAAGCCATCCTTTAAGTGTCCCCATTTGACCAACTTTGAGAGGCAGCATCTTCCTGAGAGAGTTGAAGCAATGTTTGCCAATCCTTGTAAAGCATTTCACCTCTTCAGAGGCTAAAGCCTCTCAAAACCAAGAACAATTAAAACGAGAGCCTTTCAGAGCGACTGGGGAATTCAGCAAAATAAATCAGAAATCCTCTGCCGTGGCTCTGGAGGCTTGCCTCATTATAAGAGCAGATCTATTAGCCCCCTTGCCATTGTCTTTCATTTCTCAAGTGAGGTGATTCTAATTAAATTAATCTGCATGTCAATCTATCGGTGATCAATCAAAAGGGCCGAGGTCCCCCTTTGCGGGCTGTGCTTGCGGCTGACAGGGGCTGATAATGGAGGAAGAAATAAACTGTCGAGCAAAGTTAATTAGTCAACATAATAGGTGGATTAAACAGGAGCTGCTGATTGCTGTTTCACATGTCGAAGCATGAGGTGGGAGCTGAAACTGCAATTAACAGACAATTATTATATTTGGTTGTAAGAGGTCGCATGAATAAACATATCTCTGTGGGTTTCAGTTTTTAATCCCTTTCCCTGTTTAATGTAAGGAGAAGTGTAGGTCATTGCTTCTTATTGTTTTAGTCAAAGTTCTTGAAGGCAACGTGTGTCCCTGGCAAACCAGCAACCAGCTGAATGCCAAATCTTTGCCTGGGGTGGAACGCTGGGAAACTGCACTTTGTTGGGAAGAGGCTGTGGGAGGGAGAGGCTGGACAAAAGCCAGGGAGGCTATGAGGTCTCTTGGTCTGAGTGGTCTGGGAAGAGATCTGATGTGATGAGCTCACAGCTTAGCCAAGGACTTCCTGGATGTGCTCCCCATGCATCCCTGCCTTTCCTACACAATAGTTTGTGGCTTGGGTGCCCTCAGCCTGAACAGGGATTTCCTATAGGATGGTGCCTGCTGACCCTCAAGGTTGAGAGGTCTCTCTGGACATCTCTAAGCACTTGGGTCTCCTACCCTGAGCCCAACACTTAGCTGTTTGCTCCCACTGGGTTGGTTCCTCTCCCAGCCTCGGGCAGCTCAGGGGAAAAGAAAATGTTGGCTCCTGCCTACAGGAGTTCTTCTCTGTCTCTCTTCCCTCACCTCAAACCAAATCCCAGGTGTTGACATTGAGATAAGTTGAGAAATACAAGTAATTCTAACACTGGATGAATAGGGTTGTGTTCTCCAGATCAAGACCCCCACAGTCAAGCATATGTATGTACACAAACATGCCTATATGCACTCCCTGAGACAGAGCTCAGGAGAAATCTGGGTAAGTTCACTAACCTGTAGTGACTGAGTATACTGAGGGGAGAGCAGTAGATAAGGGTGGGAGGGGCTGTGCAACAGATGTCATTGCAACTTCACAAAATATGCTGTTGTTTTCTTTCATTCAGAATCGATTCTCATTTGCAATGTCAACAGCTCTATCTACTTCAGCGTGGAAACTGAAGGATAATTTAGGGCGAAACACAGCTGCCCTTGTGTATAGGGGAAAAATACTTAATAAAGATCCTCTTGTTAAAATGATGGTTAACAGTGTGCTGTCTGCCACGCAGCTACAAACTCTGTGATTTAACTTAAAACTGCATCAAAAGCTTTCGATGCCAAAGACCCACTCATCAATAGCGTCTCTTGTTAGGTTTGTACAGCATAAGCACCAGTTATTATGCGAAATAGCGATGCAATTTTCTACAGCTCCCAGCTGTTATTTATTTAACTGAGTTTATTACACTCCCTGCTTCTTAAAAAACATACGGATACATCCAAATTTTCCTCCTCTTTGCTCTTGTGCTTTCAGGTTGTGGTGTCTACAACAGTCAATGTTGATGGCCACGTGTTGGCAGTGTCGGACAATATGTTTGTACACAACAATTCCAAGCACGGGCGGAGAGCTCGAAGACTCGATCCCTCGGAAGGTACGCCTTCTTATCTGGAACATGGTAGGCATATCATTTTCATTGGTTGACATTGCTACTTTAAATGTGGATGTATTTGGTTTGTGTCTCTGGCTACTGGTGTCAAATCGTCCTGTAACAGTTTATACCTTTGGGACTGGCCTCCAGACCGAAGGGGGAATTTTTCAAGTAGGTCAGGACTAACTTGAGTGAAATGACAACACAGAAGGCAAACATGGGTGCAGAGTCTGTCCTGTGTGTCAGTGAAGTGTGGTAATTTAATTTTTTCCTGGTTGTATCTATTCAGCACCTAAAATTGGAGCCTGATCTTTGCCAAATTGCCTCAGTTTTTGACTGTGCATCTAAAGGATGTTACATATTTTCTGAAGTGCTATGCACCCAAATTTAGAATTGGATTTTTTCTATCTGTAGAGTGCTGAGCTCTCTAGGAGATCCAGCTGTTACTTTGAATTGCCCTAAATGAAAGCAGAGCCCTTTTGGAAATCCATCTGCTTACTCAAGCCATGGATGAATGTTCTATTCTGGCTCCAGCTGTGCCAGCTGAGGAAGTTGTTTGTCTCTACATGCCACAGCTGCTTGTCTCTCCTCCCTGCTGCAGGCTATTCTTCACCATGGTCATGCCAGCTAAGATGGTTCTCTGATTGCTCTGTAGTCTCCTTCAGTCCAAAGAAGTTCATTTGAGCCAAGCTGTTTAAATAATATCTCTTTACCAATCTAGCTTATATTGCTGAAATGATTGAAGGGGAAATGGTGCAAGGCAATTTCACTGGCTTTTCTGAAAACACAGTAAACCCCAGCAAGGGTGGGATGGGGGCACATGGCTGGAAGCAGCCTGGGAGACACTAATCTTTTCCATAAGATCAGCTAGTCCTGGAAGGGAACATCTGCTGGTGACTGTAGGTGCTTAAAATGGGAGCTGTTGAGTGCAAATGTACTTTGAAAATCTGGATTTGATTAATGTTTTGTTTTGCTCTTTATCCTCAAAGTTGATGACTACTACTGAAAAACAAAATAAAAACAGAGGGTATTTCACTTCCCTCTCCTTGTTCCAGTTTGGTAGAATAGCTCTTTGTCTTCAAAGCTGTTAGCAATCCTAAATTGAATAGGTACTTGCTCCTTCTAAGAGACGTAGTTGAGTGTACAAGGCACCAGTCCTTTATGCTGGTTTGTTTCACAAATATTTGCCAAGGATCTGATGAATAATTGAATAGATTTTTCCAAAGAATTTCAAGAAACCAGATATTTTTTTTCTCTGGGAAAGCAAGTGATCAGAAAAATGTTAACTAGATCTGTTAAAAGAAACTATTAATACTGAGAAATGGACAAATTTGTGAGTCTCTGCTAGTCATTGGATTCCTGTGGAAATAGCTTTCTATTCTGTTTATGCTTTCAGGCATCAGTCCTGCAAGCATTTATGCATATATTTAAGATTATGTGCACATATGGTCCTGTTGGGATCAATGAGGCTTCTTGTGTCAGTAAAATTGAGGGTATTGATAAGTGTTTGCAGAATCGGGTCTGTAGTTCACACTTACTAACCTAAAATTCTTAGCTCAGCAGCGTTTCTCATTATATAAACATAACTTACATCTGTATTTATTTAGCTCCAACTTTTTATGTAGGCTATGAGCCATTTTCAGCCATAATTCATGTTACAGAATTTTTTTTTTCATCCTGCCAACAACCTAATTTAATAAACAAACCAATGTCATAATTTTTTGCTGAATTTTTGTTAGGAATGTACGAACTCTGTCTTTATTAATTAGCAAAAGGCAGAACATTGCAAAAGGAAACTTCTCTCTGTTCAACTTTGTAATCTTTCCATTAAGTTTAGTCTTTCAAAAAAACCACTCCTTTTTTTTAACCAATATTTCTGTCAAAGTAGATGTCATCTTTTCTTGGTTTTTTTTCTTTCTTCCCTCTCACTGCACAATCTTGGCCAAGGCAATATTTTCTCATACAGAAAAGTTCTTATTTGCCTGTGTGATACAGTAACATCTCATTTTGCTACAGCTATCATTCCCACTGCTACTACCTGAGCGATTCTGTTTGCAAAAAGAAACAAAGATAATGCTGTGCTAACATCTACATAAACCCTAGTTACTGTGCTACCATAGAAAGTCAACATCTGCAAAACACCTCCATGTGTACGTTTTGTGGGGAAGTTGATTATTCTAACCTGCTTTCTCAGGCACCTCTCAAGCAACCTCATAAAGTATCTGCTAGTAAATCCTTACTTTTAAATACCAACTTCCATGTGACAAAACTGCACTCTTCCCAAAGACTGGGTGGAGTCTTTCTAACCTAAATCCTTCAATCCATTTCTCCAGGAGTTCTATGCACATTTGAGTCCAAGAGACAGGAAAAATATAATTTAAAAGAAAAAAACCCACAAACCCAGTAACTGTTTTAAATGTTGTTTCTAGATGTCTAAAACACATAACTCAATAAAATAAATAGGAAAAGTCTCAATTGAGCTTAATGCTGTTGCAGTTTGAGCAGCCACTGGGAACCCTAGACCCCTTAGAACAGATGACAGTTTCCTCGAGTGAGATTACTTTTTACTTTTAGTTTGTCTCCCAAAGTATATTATTTTTCTTCAATTTTTGTAATTTTTGTTTTGGATAATATCTTTGAGTGTAAGTAGGGAGAAAGTTTGTTTGCTTTTCCTCTCTAGCTTTTCTGCCTCCCTCAGGGGAAGATGGATTGACCTGAGCAGTACCTATAATGAGTGAAATGGAAAGCTAAGGTGGTCATGGTTAGTTTGTCTCTGGTTTATTGCTCTGACCATAAGCATTTACGTGCTGGTTTCTAACTATAATATATTCTTGAACAAATGTGTTCCTGTGTACTTTTCTAGATGTTTAACTCTTTAACACAAATATCCAATCGCAATAGAGATGAAGGCCTGACTGTGTGCAGAGAGGGAAAAGCAGAGGGGGAATGTTGCAAGAAGGTGTGCTGGTTGCCTAATTTAGACAATATCCAGCCTATTTTTCCTTACAAAATTATGTTGGGACATGCTGCTCTTAAACATGGAGTTGTAGTTTATGTGACACCTAAAAGAGACATTGGGTGCCAAAAAGCTGGAAAGGAAACTTTACCTTTCGAGCCACTCAGGAGCCTGGTGTCTCCACATTTGGGTTTCACCATCTCATTAGCAGGTAGCCTGGATTATTTCTGGGACATCCAACACATCTCTATTTATATCTTGCCTGTCAGACAGTAAAATGAAAGTCTCTTTTCGTAGCTTGTCTCTGAATATAACTTGGAATTTAGATCATGCTTTCATATCCACACACTGTCTTCCTTGAAACCAGTGGGTTAAGAAGCTTGTGTTTCAAATAAATATATCTATCTCTCAAAAGTAATAGGCAGAGGCCAATTATTTCATACATCCCTGTGTGGCATAAATAGGGTAAGCCACAGCGATCTGTGGTTTTCAATAATTATCACTTTTTCATTTACAAATAGTTGGATCCTCACTTGTTTTATATTTATGGTAAACCAGAAAGTTGGTGTGGTTGACCTTTCTAAATTGTACATAAATAGTCAGATGTATAGTGAGGATCCTATAGGTCCCAACCAGGATAAAGTATTTCAGCTTGTAGTTCATCCCAGGGTGTAAATTTTAAAAGCAAAATCTTTCCAGTGCAATTTACGTGACTAGCTTATGGAGAAGGGGAATTCTGACAGGGTTTGCAACAACCCTTCTCAAGTTTACCAGCATCAAGTCCACCGCTGCAGATGTCTGCAAAGTTTCCAGTTAAAACTCTTCTATGGCTGTAAAGTAAAAATTCTTTTTCCACACAAAATGTTTGATTTGCTTTACAAGAATGTAAAGCCAATTGCAGCATCAGTTTCTCTATTATTTTTCCTTACTGGCAGAATGTAATGCCCTCAAAAAATGATAGTCCCTCAGACCCTGTCAGTTTGCCTGCTCTAACACTTTATTATCTAATGATCTAATATGCAACAAGGCAAAGAGGGGGTGCTTATCACCCTGACAAGATGCCTAAGAGAAGTGACTAAATTACTTTATGTACCATTAACGCTGGCTGCCATGGTGAACTCACTGTGAGCATTTATGCAAATATTCCTGAATATATTCAAGTGGCCTTGTCAGGAAGATGACTGACAAGCAGCTTAAATGCTTGGGCTTTTAAAGGGACAGTTTTATTTTTCTTTTCCTACCTCCTCCTCCGTAGCAGAGCACTGAAGAATTAGGTGATGGTGAGGTTCGCTGGTGATTTGGTTCTGAGTCAGCTCAGCAGCAGTAAAAGAGGAAAGATGCAGGGTAGAAATAAAGACACGTCTAAATAAGACATGATGTCAGAATTTGAGGATGGAAGCAGGGACAACCATGATTTCTAAAGCAATGTCCTTCCATTATTTTAATATGAAATACATCTAAATCCAAGTGTGTGTATCTAAAATAGGTCATTATAAAACAAAGCCATTAGTAGTTTCTGCCTTATACTGTCTCCAGGGCTGGATTACTCAGTCCCTTTATTATGGTACCTGAGACAGCCAAACCCTTACTATGTTGTTTTAGTTCCAGATAGTAATGAGTGATTCAGACCATTTGCTGGCTGCAGGTGCAAATCCTCCTCCAATGAGTGGAGTAGTTGCTGTGCCTCTGTTGGGCACGTCAGATAAAGCCTCTCGTCAGTAGTGAGGCATTTAAAGAGTTTTTCTTGCTAATCTTGTCCATCCTGGGCTATCTGAGGGCCCACAGTCACCACAGTAGGTACATGCACAGATTTCCCACTGAAGCTTCAATTTTGTGTGCAAAAATGTTTGCTAGGCTGTGTCTTAGTTGACTGGGTATTTTCTATTTAGGTTAATAAAACAAGGGAAGTCTTTCCCCACCTTACAAACTGTCTCGAGAGGATAATCCTTAAAAAAAATCTTTGAGATGGAGTGTCTTTTACATGTTATTGTATCCAGTCTGACTGTAACAGAGTTGTTGAGAACAGTCATGGTATACTTTGAATTTAGCTGTGTGTGCTCAACATGTCAGT